CCAACCCAAAACCAAAAACAACAAAAAAAAACCCAGGTGGTCCCACAAACAAACAAAAACCAAGAAAACACAGAAACAAAAAAGAAAGAAGACAAAAAGAATTCAATCACAGCAGCATCTTGTCATTGTGTCAAATACCTTTTTTAAAACTCCCAAGTCTTTACTTATGACCTGAAAATAACATAAACAAAAACACAAATTTAAAATTACATAAAGGGTGCATTCGAATAATAAAAAATGTCATAAAAGGATGTTCAGCAATGGGAGAAGATAGCAGCATAGTTGCATTGCATTGCATCTGCAGAAAGATAATACCAACACAAACAGAAAACATCACGGACTATAATACGAACTCCAAGCAAATGGTCAAAAAGGTAAAACGTGGAATAGCACAAAACAAAAAAACAAATAAGAAAATTCTTAGTGGTCCATCTAGTAATCCAAGCTCAAACTGTAATCCCCTTCACAACCAAAGGGCAAAAACGGACCTGAACATGCAAATCAGGTGTAAAAATAACAATAACATTATAATCAAAAACAGAACCTTTCCACCTCCCATCCCTCCAACACACACACGAACACACCAAAAAATAATGAAGATCAAACCATCAGAATCTAAATTTGGGAAAGGAAGGTAAAAAAGAAAGAAAACTACATGTGGGTCCTATCGATGGAGCAATAAGAACTACAGTTGATGTCATATGATTCCAATTCCTTCAAAGTTAGACATTGTAGAAATTTAGAACTAGGGTCAGTAAGTTATTTGATTATAGGTTTTTATTGGTCCATTATTTGTTTGAAACTAAGATTTAGTTAGTTTAGGAAGTCCATTTTCATGGAGGTTTCCAAATTAGTTAGCTTTGAAAATAAGGTAGTTACTTGTCTATATAAGCAAGTTTCAATGAAGTCAACTAATAAAATCTCTGCAAATTCTTGCTATCTTTTAATGGTGTCAAAAAACTCCGTTAAACTCGTATAAGGTGAGACTTCTGCAATGCAAGTTATTTACCAGTCTACTACTATTTTAAAACAATATTACTGATATACGATAGTTTTGAACTTATTTACCAATTACGGCACTTTTTAAAAGAGAAGTTATTGATCCATTTTTTGTCATATTTATCAGAAAACGGATCAACAACTCCACTTTTCAATAAAAATTGGCTAAGAAGCATGAACACGGACACACCAATACGACATTTCTCAAAAAAGTAGGACACGGACACGTTAGGAGCACGATACAAAAAATTATATTTTATATTTAACATTATAATTTATTGCAAATATAGTGATAATGATATACAATTCATAAAAAAATAAGTATTTTATGATAATAAAACCTAATATCTAGTCATATGTGTGAATTTCTAGACTAAAATATCCTCATTATAGTTAATAATAATCAATTTTTTTTGTAGACAATGTATACCTAATATGTACTTTAAATAATTGCTCTCATTTTCTCAATTCCTCTTTTTTAAAACTTTTATGCATCTTTTATTTTTATTATTATATTTGGAGGTACAACTTTAATATGTCTAGTATTAGTAATTATATGTTCTCAAATTTTTAAACTTTATTAATTACATTTCAACAAATTTCTATTGTTTAATAGTAGACATGTTCTAAAGAAGTGTCGGACACGTCACCAAAGAAGTGTCCGACACGTGTCCGAAATTAAAAATTTATCATTTAATTATGACTGGAATAAAAGAGTATCAGACACGTGTCCGAAAATGTCCGAAGAGTGTCAGTGTCCGACACGGATACGTCACGTTCTCGAGAGTTTTCATGCTTCATAGAAAATAGGCTTTGCACTGTTGGCTTGAAAACGTGTTTACTAAACACGTTTTTAATAAACATATCCAACCCAGCCACTACACCTATTTTCTCTCCATTCCTTCTCTGTGAACAACACTAGACCCACTTTAGCTGCCATTCACTTAGCTTGTCTACATCAGCAAGCTGACAGTCCCTTCAATTTTTTCTCTCTATTTCCTTTTTCAAATTACATTCTCTTCGCAAGGCAGAAGAGTTAGTTTAGCTCTGTTTATAGGCTCCATTTCATTTCATTGAAGCAGTTCCAAACAAATAAGAAATTAGCCACCCAAAAAAGAACTAAGTCATGGTGGATCATCCTCTAAACCTTTGGAGTTTGGGCCCTTTCCCAGGAGTCACCAGCCTTTAAAATTCTGCAAGAGAGAGAGAGAGAGAGCACCAACCACACATACATCTATAGACCAAGTGATATATATAGATACGAAAAATTGTAGAGAGATAGAGAGGGGAAGGGAGAGCAGGGAATTGAAAGGCTTGCATGGTGGTTGCCCTATGAAGCTTCCCATCTCAAGAGGGTTAGGTGCTATTCACAGAGAAGGTGAAGCAAAGAGTGTCTTAAAACATGTTTAATAGACACGTTTGTAAGCCAACAACGGGAAGTCTGATTTTATTTAAAAGCGAGGTCAACAAACAACCCCACTTTTTGATAAAAACAGGATCAACAATTCCATTTTCTAATTAAAGCGGATTCAACAACCCCGTTTTTAAAAAATGTCGTAATTTGGTAAATAAGTTCAAAAGTGTCGTATACGGGTAAATAAGTTTCAAAATGACTGTCTTGTGGCAAATAACTCTCTGCAAGGCCTCATTGAGACTCAAAGGCTTTCTGGCAGCATTAACAATTAAAGTGACAGTAGGAGTTATAATCAGCCCTTTCAACCAGCCCATTTTTATGCTGAAACCTTTAAACATTCATTCTGAAACCTTAAACCCAACTTTCTTTATTTCCAGAGCTAAATCTTGATGGTTATCTTGCTATTCAGAAGATACTGCAACCATTAAACCTTCGGTTTCAGGCCAAAAGCAGCTTCAAGTCTCAACCACTTTTACCATCAGTTCATCCCAAACTTTCTAATCATAATATCTCAGTCACAAACTCAACCAATCAAATCCTCTAACCTACCATTATCTGATCATTAGGCAGCCTTAATCCATTCAATTAAGGTTCTTTTCAAATTGCATAATCTCCCACCAAAAATATAATATAAAAAAAGGAAGAAAAGGCAAAAGGAACTAGTAGACAAGATACAAAATTGAGAAGAGAATATCAGTTTATATTCTTCATCAAGTTCTTTCCGCTAACAATCTATAATAGAAACTATCTATAGAAGAAAAGTATATACATATAAACACGTGCATAGAGCTTGTCAAGCAAAAAATGTAGATCTTCTTTATGTACACAAATAGATTTCTTTGTATAAACGTCCACAAAGTGAGGAAACATGTTTGCAGCTACTAAAAGTGTATCGACTGAATATCAATGAGAAGAAGCGAAATAAACAGCATATTGAGTCAAGATATTATAATACAAGACAGAGACAGGAAATGCAAAATTCTTGCCTTGACTTTAAAGAAATCTATTAGCTCAATCTCAAAATGAAGTTCAACATCCTTTGGAAAGCCATCAGGAACTGAAACAGGACAATCTTCCTCACCGTAGTGCATTTCAGGTTTCATCTTGAACTAAAGTAAGAAGGAACACAAAAATGTCAAAAACCAACAGAAATCAAACAAAACAAAAGATCATCAAGCATAAGAAAAACAAGCACACTAAAAATAACAGTTACATCTAACAGAGAGAGGGGGGAGAAATAAGCTTAAACCTAACTCTAAAGAAAGCAGACCAACACCCACTCAAACAGAGAGAATGCACGTCAAACACACACACCTATGAAGCAAAATTTTAACATAAATTGACTGGAAAGCAGCACAAAATTTCCATAGAAGCAACAAAAACAGTTTTGACAGCAAAGTCCCTCCCTGATCATGAACATCTATAGTGTAACAGTACCTTTTTCCTTTTTATCTTCATACATATTTTTTTCCCTTTTCTAGACATGTAACCATCCCATGTTAACTTTAAAGAGGAAAAACCAAAAAAAGAGAGCATAAATTCATGTAATGATAGACCAAATTTACAGTTATGGGACTGGAAAAGATCTTTGGCACAACAAGAGTTCGGCTTTTCCACTATTTCTCAAGCGTGTTCTAGACTAGGTGCTTTCCTTATTCTTTCTTGCAGGGCAGTGATGTTCAACAAAGTGAAAGAATGATCTAAGTTTTCCTATTACAAAGCGAAATAACCTAGCCAAAGAGTGCAATAATATACCTCACTCTGAGTATTTTTGTTTTGAAACAAATGTGAACAGGTTTCAAGCAATTACCATTGCAACTTCACCTTTCGGCATTGTGGGAATTCCTTCTAGCAATCCCAATATCATCTTGCTTTTACCCAAAACATGCCTAATTGGGGTACCTCTGCCTGCAGCATGATGCAATAGAGCGAGAGAATTATTTATTTAATTTGATGACCAAAAAAAGAGAGTTTCATAAACGTATCTAAAAACAAGAGCATATGCGGCCTCCCAATAGCAAACTCATTCCAGTACACTTTGACTGGCATAGTGTACAATCAATAGAGAAATAGAAAGGAATCAAGTTAATTCTGCAAATCAAGCATAAAGTAGAACTCACCTCCACATTCTGATCGAGTTGACTCCACAACAACTCCATCAAGAGTACGAATTGTGCAATGGTAAATGAGCTGCAAAACATAATCACAGATATAAGCAATGACATGTAACTCTTTCCCCTAATCCCATTCTAAAGATAGTAGATAACATTCTAATTATAATAAACAGAAGGACACCAACTGTTGAATCACTTGAAATAATTGTGAGTAAAAGGAGATACTCAAATTAAGAGTAAAACCCCGTATATATAGGCAAAATATAAAAATCATAGTAAGAGTAAAAAAGGGAAAAGAAATCCTAATAAACCTAGGAAAAGAAATCCTAATAAACCTAAACTATCTATACTCCAACACTCCCCCTCAAGCTAGGCGTAAAAATGTCAACTAAGTCAAGCTTGACAACGGAGTCCCGAAGAATAGACAGAGTGACAGGTTTGGTAAAAACATCCGCAACTTGATCACTGGTCCCCACAAACGATGGAATAACAAGACCACTGCTGACCTTCTCCCGAAGAAAGTGAACATCGATCTCTATATGCTTCGTTCTCTCATGTAGTACAGAGTCAGAAGCGAGCTGAATAGCAGATTGATTATCACAATATAATGTGGATGGAGAGGTCACTGAAAAACCCAACTCGTCAAGAATCGATCGTAGCCAGATAATCTCACATGTGCCAAGTGCCAATGCCCGATACTCTGCCTCTGCGGACGAGCGGGAGACAACTGCCTGCTTCTTGCTCTTCCAAGAGATAAGATGAGTCCCTCGAAAAGCACAGAAACCCGTAGTAGATCGACCATCACATGCTCCCCCATAATCTGAATCTGAATAACAGGCTAGAGAACCGGTCTGAGATCCTGATGCATAAAACAACCCAAGTCCAGGACAAGACTTGAGGTACCGAAGAATATGATAAACTGCATCAAGATGAGGCTGACATGGCCTATGCATGAACTGACTAACTCGGCTGACTGCGAATGAAATGTCCGGCCTAGTATTGGCTAAGTAGATAAGTCTACCTACCAATCTTTGATAAACTGTCGGATCTTTCAACTCCTCACCTTCAGCAGTAAGCTTCAGGTTTGGAATCATGGGTGATGATGCCGGTTTGCACCCCAACATCCCAGTGTCTGAAAGAAGATCCAAAACATACTTTCTCTGAGAAAGAACAATACCTCTGCTTCTACGGGCAACCTCAATCCCAAGAAAGTATCGCAGAAATCCAAGATCCTTCACATCGAAGGCCTTCCCAAGGTCTATCTTGACCTGCGCAGTCCCAGAAACATCATCACCAGTAATAATAATATCATCAACATATACCAGAAGGATGACACACTGTCCAGAAGTATTCCGTCGAATAAAGCAGGTATGATCAGAATGACACCTGGTGAACCCCAATCGTATGACTACATCACTGAAGCGAGAGAACCAGGCTCGTGGCGACTGTTTCAGTCCATAAAGAGACTTACGCAGTCGACATACCTTTCCAGCATACTCCCCCTCACCACGAAAGCCCGGTGGTGCATCCATATAAATAATCTCGTCCAGATCACCGTGAAGAAACGCATTCTTCACATCTAATTGATGAAGAGGCCAAGAGTACTCCGCAGCCAGAGAAATAATTAACCGAACAGTAGTCAATTTTGCCACGGGGGCAAATGTAGCACCAAAATCACGACCTGGTACCTGAGTAAAGCCCTTCGCCACAAGTCTAGCCTTGTAACGATCAATAGTACCATCTGCCAGAAACTTCAGGGTGTAAACCCAGCGACAGCCAACAGGCTTCACCCCTGAAGGTAAGGAGACAAGATCCCATGTATGATTACGCTGAAGAGCGTCCATCTCTGTCTGCATGGCAAGAACCCACTGGGGCTCCCGCATAGCTTCCGAAATAGAGCGAGGAACCAGCGTATCTGATAAGGCCATAGTATAAGCTCGAAATGTGGGAGACAGATTACCATAAGAAACATAAGCAGAGATCGGATATAAAATCTTTGCGGTCCAACCATATCGATCAACTGGACGGCGATCATGTTGCGAGAAGGTGGCTTAAGCTCTGGATGGAGCTTCCAGCAAGTAGCCCTGAGATGTCCTGGTCGGCCACAATAATCACATTGACGGGAATCCCCCCGTCTGCGCTGATCTGGGGCGCCCTGACGGCGCTGGTCTGAGCGTTGCCCATCCCTGACTAAGGATCCTGAACGGGACCCTACAGCAGCTGCAAGGGCCATCTGGTCAATCGAAGGAGGCAAAGCTGCAACTGGAAGTGATGCAATACGGACTCGACGCTCATGCTGCTCAATCATCCCATACACCTCATAAAGAGAAGGAAGTGTCAACATCGACAAGATCTGAGAACGAGGTCCCTCAAACTCATCACGAAGCCCCATAAGGAACTTGTGAATCCTATCCTCCTGCTCTCGAGTATGCAAGAATGCTGCTCCCTCGGGCTCTATCTTCGGAATAGCAGCAAGAGGACGTAGAGACTCATACTCAAGCCAGCGCTGGGTCAAATAGCCATAATAATCCTGAACGGTCATATCTCCCTGCCGAGCATATGAGAGCTCCTGAGAAAGCTCATAAACACGAACTCCCCGTCCTGACTGAGAATACATCTCTGATAATGCGCTCCATAGCTTCGGAACAGAGCTATGAAACTGGTGGATCTTGCAAACAGAGGGCTCCATTGAGCCAAATAACCATCCAAGAATGGCACAGTTTTCAGAGAACCATGCAGAATATCCAGGGTCGGCATCAGCTGGCTTTGGGTGAGATCCCGTCAGCCAACCAAGCTTCCCTACACGGCCTAAGAAAAGCTGGAATGAGCGTGACCACTCAGCGAAGTTACGACCATTCAACAATTGTGCCGTAACTTTTTGAGAGATCATGCCCGGTAATGCTGGTAATGCAACTGTGCTAGTAGGCACTGTATACTGGTCAAACATAAAAGTGGAAGTACCCATAGATGTCTCAACGGTAGAGGTGTCAACAGTAGGGTTCTTAAGTCCCTCAGTAGTAGTCATATCAACAACAATACTGGGGCACCCGTGACAGAAAAATAACTCTAAGATAAATAGAGGAATAAAATAAGGGAGAACAATATACCTTCAGTCGAACAGTAGCGACAAATAGGGAAGGTCCAAAAAGCTCCCAAATAATCAAGTCACGGTGCCCAGAAATCCAAAATATATAAATAAGTGATCTACTGCATCAAGGGCAGATCAACAGAAAAGAGGATCCGCTCCCTCCCAAAAAAGTCCTAGAATAAAATCACAACGAAAGTTGTGACCCAGCAGTGGGCTGGACAATGATCTAGCAGTAGGAGTGGTTTTATTGGGTTTATTGGGTTGGATCTATTATTATTATTATATGGAGAATGGGTAAAGGGCGCGGGACAGGATATATATGGCCAGTCGGTTGGACAGTGGGCTGGTTTAGCATATGGTTATGGGCTGGTTTGGCATATGGTTATGGACTGGTTGAACTGGTATGGATTGAGGTTGCTGCCTTTGTCGTGGATTAAGGTTGTGGTGGACTGGTATGGACTGGTTTGTCTGGGATGCGGCTAGGGGCTGGTATGGACTGGTATAAGGATAGGCAGTCAGTGTATGGACTGGTATGAGGATGGGCAGTCGGTGGAAGACTGTTTGTTGCCTGGGCCGTCGGTGTATGGATTTTGGGGCTGTCGGTGTGGCCTGGTATGGGCAGTAGGTGGACTGGTTTTGTCGCTGGTTTGGTCGGTTTCGCTGGGCAGCTGATGGCCAGGGTGGTTTCGGCGGTATGGTTGGTAGAGCCATACACTAACCCTACCCCAAACCCTAATCTTGCTCTGATACCAACTTGAAATAATTGTGAGTAAAAGGAGATACTCAAATTAAGAGTAAAACCCCGTATATATAGGCAAAATATAAAAATCATAGTAAGAGTAAAAAAGGGAAAAGAAATCCTAATAAACTTAGGAAAAGAAATCCTAATAAACCTAAACTATCTATACTCCAACAGAATCATAAGTAATAGAAGTCAAGAGGTTATTAGCTAAACATACTAGTGAGTAGTGATCCTATAATTCAAGCACAATGAATTGCATCATATACCTATCTATATGCAATTGAACAGGAGCAATCGCACAGAGACATATAATTAAAGCAAAAATAGAATAGTTAGTGGACCTGATCACCGTCGGCAGGCCTTGAATCACCCCCTCCTGGTCTCACCACGGCTTTCATCAAACTTCCAGGCACAATCTTCTTTCTCCTAAATTTATGAAATACATAGTAAATGTGTTAATGCACAGAGCATGAGGAAAGATTAAGAATTTGCAGAGATAAGGGAAAATTCTCACCTTTTTTCTTCATCAGAATCAATTTTCTTCTTCTGCGGCTTGAATTCTTGTTCAGCATCTTCTTCTACGTCCATTGTGAACAATTCTCGCCGGCAATTCGAAGAACAGTGTTGAATTCACTACTTACAGAGCTCAAATTAGGATATATATATATGTGTGTGTGTGTGTGTGTGTGTGTGTGTGTGCAGATAGTCACATAGTAATTGTTGAGAAATGGCGGAAAACCCTAGGTGAAAATAAGACACAAAAGAGCAGTGTTTCAGTGCATTGTATTTTTACATAGAAACGTACATGTGCTTGACTGCTATAGTGCGTGTCCGTTCAATAGCCTGAGATCCGGCGAAGTGGGAGAGGCTAAAGACGATCGAAGACCGATGTCTTAACTCTTTAAGTAGTTGCTTTTCTAGTTTAACAACTAAGCTACTACTTCGACTTCTCTTAATTGATTTCGTAATGGATTAATTGCAGTAAAAGTTCCTAAAATATAAGATTTATTTCATTTTGATCTTCAATATTTCATTTGCATTATTTTGACCTATAAAATATTGAATATATTTTCATATGATCCTTCAAGTAAACGTCGTCTAGATTGCTAATAATTTTTTATCATAAATTTATCATATAATATTTAAATATAGACAAAAAATAATTTTAATAATTCTTAAACAAAATTTGGATAGTTTGGATAGTTCATGATAAAAAATGTATAATTTAGGTAACTATTTAATCAAAATTTGAGTAAAAATTTGGTCAAGTATTATCCAAATTATTTTTTTGTCCATATTTAAAAACCACGTATAAGTTTATAATAAAAAATTATTAATAATATGGGTATTGTCTGTTTGAGAGACCATATAAAAACATATTCAATAACTTAAGAACTAAAATGATGCAATTAAAATATTATGAACCAAAATAAGACAAACTTTATACTTTTAAGACATTTTGTGCAATTAACCTATGGTAATTAATTACTATAATTGATTCATTTTGTAATTTGTATTTTATTGGGTGATATCATGTGCGTGATCTAATCTATTATATTTTCTACCCTTAAAGTTTACACCCAATTTTATTTTGGTTCCTCAACTATTAATTAAAAAAATAAAGCCTTTAAAATTTAAGTTCTATTTCAATTAAGACTTCAACTCAAATTCATTAGTAATTATCTATACCTATACTACTAATAAAAGACACTTGAGGTGAAAAACTTTTATTTTCCTAATATACCCTTAGTCAATTTTACCCTTGACCCAATCCAATAGTTACCATACCTGATTTTATTGTAGATTGTACATATTTCAACGTTGTATATTGAATGACTCTACGGATCCTAGGACTGAATGGATAATGAATATATTACCTCTTAGTTGGAACATGAAGAATGTGAGGCCTCCATACCTAGGCTTTACACATTCTGGTATTGAATATTCAATGGCTATAAATTCTGGAATACATGAACAAATGAATGTATTGCTTCCCGATTGAAAATGAAGAATTTATTGTCTCCATATTTTGGTTGTACACATTCTGGCATTGAGAATATTCAGTGACTATGAATAAATGTATATTACTTCCCAATTGGAACCTGAAGAATTTCAAGTCTTGCACCATTAGTCTTTCCATCCATTTGTCGTTTCTTATTGATAAATCAGCTTCCTTATTTTTGCAGCAGGAACAAAGTTAATGTACAAGGTGAAGTAGTAGGTATCCTCTTAAGTTGCAGTGGAGGTCCTACTTTGGTCACACTTATGGGATACATTTCTACTGGTTTTGCATTCGAACGTGGTTGTGGAGATTCAATTCTTGGGTATTTGGTTGTTATTTATGCTTTTGCGCTTTAGGTTTTGTAAGAAGATCTTTGTCTTTCTTTGTTGTTTTACTTCAATGTGAAAGGAAAAACACAAACATTATACCCACTTAGAGAGCTATACATTTCTACTTTCTTTTTTTCCTTGGTCAAAAAAATAAAATAAAAAATTAGTGAGGTATACATTCATTTGCTCCACACTTGTGAAATCGGTCAATCATCGTTCTTAATGAAGTGTGATAGTGCTCTGTTTGTTAACAACTGCAATGATGTAAGTTCATATTATCAAACTTGAATATCAAATATTTAACTTATTATTAGCTGCTTAGATTTATTGATGACTTTGCAATGCTAAGCGTTCTCGCATTTTTATCAAATCTATTATGTTAGAACTATGCTCATATCTTCTATTTTTTGCCGGTGATTGGTATGCATTATATAAACAATCCTCTTTAGATGACATATGTAATATAACAAAAACATTGACAGAGAGGTGATTAACTCAAGTACAATAAATATTTTTTTTATTCTTTTTTGTCATTTGCATTTTATACTATTCTCTTACAATATTATCAAACCCTCCGGTATCACCTATTGAAGGAGTATTTTGTTAAATCTATCTCTCTCTCTCTCACACACACACTAAAACACATACTCACATACAGACCTAAGATATCTCCACCTTACTTTGCCATGTATTGCCTTTCACTTTGGTTTATAACTTCTTGACTATTGTCTTCCTTTGCAAATTTTACTTATTTGTTTTCCTTCTTTTGGCATGTACAAGTAGGTATGTTAACCTGAAGTCTCCCAATTTATAACATAGTTACTAACAAACTTATAGGTTTGGCAAAGTAGCTATTTTTTTTTGATTTGGAAATATTAATAAAAAATTATACTGCAAAATAATCCATGTGTAACGCACGTGTGAACCATCTAGTAAAATAAAAGAGTCACGTCAGCATTACGTTACCCAATTATGAAATTAATTATGAATAAGTTGACTCTAAAGTTAGAGTTTATTGTAAGAAATTTTAATGATTCGTATATGAAATTTAGAACAACTAAATTACGAGATTTAGAACATACATGTATGCGTAATGATACTCGATATCCGGATTTCTTTAGCGGAAAGGCAAAGTCTTCCTCTCATTCTTTAAAACAATAGGTGGCTTTCAATGAGACAAGCCAATTTAGGGTTATAAAATGAAAAGGGAACCTACTCTGCTATTTATAATGAAATATATTGGTTCTCCCATTACGGGCCACAATTAGAGTAAGACCCACACTTAACCGCCTCAACCACATCAATTAAAGGATGTACATAAACTCATCAAAATAGATCACTTAATAATATTTGACTCATCTCATTGGACCATAAATTCAGCCCATTTTTCATAAACTAAAATTAACTATCAATTAATGACAGTCCAATATAGAAAAAATTTCAACATTCTCCCACTTGGACAATATTAATTGTAGTCATTTAGAAATAAAATAAAATTATATATATATATATATATATATTTGAAAACGACTCTCGGACTAATCAAACAAAACTCAATGTGGCCACAATAAAAAATAATATGGTCTTAAGACAACATCTCAAACACAACCCGGTCCAATAAAACTAATATTTTCGAACCATGGCGGTCTTTTCATCCTTTATTGACATAGGACCAATCCATGATTACAAAAAATAATAATTCTATTGACATGAATCAAGATGTGGTAGTGTAGCAAGAAAATAAAATCTCAATATGTGATACAATAAACATGTTATTTTCATTGTCAGTCCTCCAAATGATTTCTCTTTAGCAATATGCTTCAACAATAAGTTAGAAAAATCTGTTAGCTTCAACAATAAGGTAATATGTCTTCAAACTTAAAATCACAAGATTTTCTCAAATTGTGTAATTAGAGATATACTCAATTGACAAAACAGTTATACTTAAGACATACACCAAGTCTTAAGATTTTATATAAAATGATATGTCATAAATGTGTGTACATATAACATAGCAAGAATATCATGCTAACAATAAGAATAATCATCAAGTAGATGTATCTCAACCATAGTGAGTATCAAATATCATATATGAAATTAAATCAACATTAAAGTTCTTAACGCATAAAAAACTCGTACTAACCAAGTACATCAAAAGACCTCAAAATATCCATATTGTTTATATGTTTCTAAAAAGTTACAAGTCTCAGTCCCTTGGTTAAAGGATCAACAAACATTTATTATGTATCAATATATTCAATCATAATATCACTTTTCTTCACAAAATCCTTAACAGAAAAATATTTAATTTTCATATGTTTAGACCCACTAGAATGTTTGTTGTTCTTTGAGAAGAACACAGCTACACAATTATCACAATAAATTGTTAGTCTAGAGATGAAATCAACAATCATAAGTCCTGAAATAAAATTCTTTAGTCATATAGCTTCTGTTGCAGCTCCATAATAAGCTACAAATTCAGCTTGCATATTGGAAGAAGTTGTGAGAATTTATTTAACACTCTTTCATGATATTGCTCCTCCAACTAACATAAAAATATACCCTGAAATGAATTTTAAATCATCCTGACACCTAGTAAAATCTGAATCTGAGTAACTAATCACCTCAAAACTTTCAACTCTCCTATAAACAAGTATATATTTTTTTGTTATTTGCAAGTATCTCATAACTTTCTTAGTTGTCATACAATGATCTAATCCTAGTTTGAAAATATATCTGCCAAGAACACTAATAGCAAAAGCAATGTCTGGTCTGGTACAAACCTGTGCATATATTAAACTGTCAATAGCACTCGCATAAGGTATATTCGTCATAGATTCCTCCTTAAAATTATTTTTGGGACATTGACTTAGACAAAATTTATCACCTTTCACAACAGTACATCTTCAAACTTACAATTATGCATATTAAATCTTTCAAACACACGATCTATATATGTCATTTGAGAAAGTCCCAACAACCCACGACTCTTATTCTGATGAATATGAATGCCTAACACAAAAGATGTTTCCCCAAGATCTTTCATGTCAAAAATTTTGCACAATAATTGTTTCATCTCATGAAGTAAGCCTAAATCATTATTTACAACCAAAATATCATCAACATAAAGAATAAGAAAAATAAATTTGCTCTCACTGACCTTGGAATATATGCATCAATTCATCTTATTCTCAACAAAACCAAGAGAACTTATTATCTCATCAAATTTCAAGTACCACTAACGAGAAGCTTGTTTG